AATGAAACCTTTTTATTATCATATTAGAACAACTTACAACAAAAAAAAATATACACAATCAACATGTTTCGAATAAACTAACCATTTCCTATCACTAGTTTCACCATTACTCAACTTTCTAGAATAATAAGTATATAAAAAGTGTCTAGAGAAGTGTTATCTAAGGGAAAAACAAGATCCATTTCTCTTATAGGCCCCTTTTCAACAAAAATATCCCTTGCTTTGTTGTAAGATTACCTCAATTTCTAGAATCATAAATTTCTAAAGGAGGAATTAATTGTTCTTTGTCAATTCCAATATTTTCAATATTAGATGATTCATTTGGTACATCATTAGGTTCACTTAAAATCATTAACTTCATCATTTTCACTTTCATTGTTTTCATTATGCAAAATATTTTATTGATTAAGATTTTCATGAGAACCTACCTTTTTAAAAATAAATTTATCAAGAGCTCCTTGATATGATTTTATTAACTCTTCCTCTTGTTTTTTCCTTTTTCCTTTTTTCACTTCCAGAGAAAGATATTTTAGGAAGCATACTATAAAAGATAAATTAAATAGTAAATTAACACAAAAATGAACAATAGAACCTGTAAGTAGAAGTTGTGACACCCTTTACCCCAACATAAATATAAAATGACTATAACATGTAAATTTTGAGTAAATAAAACTTCCTTAATCAAAATAATGTTTCAATTAACATAAGAGTAAAGGATTTACATTCACAAACAAAAATCATGGTTTAAATGCAGAAATTACAAGGGAAATAAACTAAAGGTTTTTCAAAATGACACAATGAAATGAAATTATAAACTAGTCCTATCTATACCCTTATGTCACATGCCCTATCAGAGCACGCCCAAATGAAGCCTAAGCTTCATCACCAACATCCTCATGCTAATGATCACCTACAACACAATTTACAACATACGCAAACAAATAGGGAAATGAGAAACATCCCACTCAGGTACAGGTGCAGAAATAACTGTTAAGCAACACATATACAATCATAACAAGTACAACACGAGTTACACCTTAGCCAAGCACAACACAAGTTACACATAAAATAGTAACACATGCAAAATCACTTATCATGCAATGATGTCATGGACTCGACTTATAAATGCATGCATGTGGAACTAGTCATAAATATCATCATATATCACTGGTATGCTGCTGAAACAACACACTTGGAGTAGTCTAGGAGTACATGCAGGGAGCTACCCATACACTCTGATGGAAATCTAATCCCCAAGGATCCTTTGGAAGAGGTAAGACCAAGAAGGGTGAAGGTTGATCCATAGGAGAGCTCACACTTGAAGACCATTGGGCCTTTAACTATAGAGGAGGCTTCTATAGAGTAAGTGCTTCTTAGACCTATGCTCAATATGAGCATCGAGTATGATTCATCTTTTTAGTCTCATAGTCTCTATTGTACATACCTTGTATAGTTTGAGTTCTTGTACCTTGTATATAGTAGATACTTGTATAGGTGTATTTTGCCTTTGTATTTGTAAGACACCTTTTCCTTTTCTTATTAGGTCATTCCTTTAGGATTTTAAGGTATGTTGTTTGGAGACTTTTGCTCTATTTGACCTTGTATTAAGGGTCATTGATTTTCATAATTTTAGTAGTAAAAGTGGGGTGACAAATAGTAAAGTGTGTAGGTGAAGCTAGCAATTGGGCCTATAGTGGACTTAAGCTAATTTTTACACATTGGGCTTGTTTTGTTCCATTTAATCCAAGGAATTGATTTAGTTAGGTCTCACCCTCATTAGGTAAACCTAACTAAAGCAATTCCAACATTTTTGGACTGGATTAAGTGAAGGAAAACAAGATGGCCACCCAACTCTTCTAGCTTCTCCCACACACTTGGTTAGCTTGAGCTATAAGCTTCTAGCTTAGCTTGCTCCACAAGCTTTAAAGCTTAGCTTGTTTCACAAGCTTCCAAGTTATTAGATCGATTAGCTTGAGTGTAAGAAGGCTAACCATGGTTCTCCTTGAACCATAGTTAGCCTATCTTGCACCACAAGCCACCTCTCCACTATATAAGTCTTTTTCTTCACTTTGTAAACACTTTTAATGCAATATATGAGAGAAATCCGAATTTTCCTCTGAATTTTCTCTCTTCCAAAAGTTCCAACCTCTTTGATATTTATCCATTCCTCTTATCCTCTTCAAATAAGACTGTGGTGAGGATTGAAGTGGCTAATCTTCCTCCAAGGAGTGGCACCACTTGAGAGTGTTCTTCACCTTCTAAGGTAAACCTTAGAGCTTCTACCTCCATTGGAAGCTTCAACAAAGCTTAAAGAGAACCAAAGAGTCGAAGATATAGGGAGGAGCTTGGAGAAGACACCAACACCAATCCGGTTCTTCAACAAGTTTTCCATCACACTCTCAATTAGAAGGATGTATTTCTAGGGTTTCGTCAGGATAGCGAAGCTGCGCAAGTTACGTCCCATGCATACAAACAGGCAGAACTAAGACATCCAAACTGCATTATCCCCTAGGAATCCCACAAGTTGTTACACAAGGAGGGTCTTCCCTAATGGTGTACTCAACATCGTACCCCATCACATAAATGCACATGCTGCATGTCACACATTCACAACGTCATGGACTCATCACTTTACTTGTCATGGAATTTCATGTCTTATCTTATTTCATCTCGTTTCACATTCTCATAGTCATAGTCATATGGTCACACACACATCAGTTCTAACATTCATAGTATTCACAACAGCACATAATTCACATCAGATTAGTAGTTGTACATCACATAGTCAATTAACCATTTATAAGCATATAAAACACGTAAAACATCAACTGAGGTTGTGCCTGGCGCGCCTCAACTTGCGCCTAGCGAACTACATCTCGCACCAAAAGCAAAGCAACATGCCCAACATGCCCTTGAGTGCGCCCGACGATTTTAATGCCACGTCTAAAGCAGAGAAACATGCCCGACGCAGCTCCATACGCTAGTGTAACTTTTTCGCGCTCGGCTCAACTTTTTGATGCTCAATGCGAAGAATTACGCTTGGCGCCCCAACACAAACATGCAAAATCAGATTTTGCAATCACGCAATTTTTCACATGTAAGCACATATTTAAACAATTTATTCAGTACAAATACTTCAAAGAATGTCCAACACACAAATTCATACTCAATTTCACATTAAACACTTCAATTCTTGTCAGATGATCATGTCCTAAATTATTTCTCATAAGGTTTCCCACAGGCACCTATAAAGTACTCTAATCCATATCAAAACATATTCAAACTCAAAACTAAACATACATTCATGCTCAGTAAGCATCAAGGGAACATAGCAAAAACATCAAACATCAAAGCAAAAAACTTTCACAATTAGCTTGTTCCTATAAGCATACCTTAGGCAAGGGATTAATGGTCAATTCTATTATCCAACAAATATTTTCACACCCCCGAGCGAGGTTTCCCACTCCCCCTTATCTGGATGAGTAGAAGATGAAGTACATGTGGTTTCCTGGTGATCTCTTCCTCCTGGTTCTCTTGAATCTTTAGAGCGCATAGAAAAGAAATGCAAGAGTAAAGTAAGGGGAAATGATAAGCGTGAAAATTAATCCCTAACAACTCTTTTTTACTTAATAATAATAATATTATTAATATTAATATTAATAAATAAAAAAATTACCACTACGTCCTCCCTTCTACCTTTATAAAACAATTAAAAACAATCAAAATACACTTTCTCTTTTTAATTAAAATAACATATACTTAACTTTAATAAAATACATTTCATAAAAACATGTCTCATTTCAAATAATCAAATATTAATTAAAAATCATGCTTTATATTAAAATAGAGCTCTCATAAAATAAATAAATAATATAAAATATACTTTTCATTTTTAGTAAAAATAACATATTTTATATAAACGCAAATTGATTTGGTTAATCACACAGAATGATATTACAAAAATACTAAGGTACATTGGTAAGTAAAATCTCTCAATTACTCATTAATACATATGATTAAGGGTGTTCATCAATCTACAAGAACCTTAACTTACAAAGTACATCCTAATGAATTTAACTATCATCTAGATCACAAATTAACCAAACAATATAACAACTATATTTATAAATTAATATAAAACCTAATTGAATTGTCAATTTCAGTGCTAGAACAAAAATGGACAATTTAGGGATTTCTTCCACTACCCAATCTCTATCGTAATCCCACATATGAATGAATTCATTTTCCTCCTCGTATCTTATTGCGATGATAAGAATAGTCTAATGCAGTTTGAGACAATTCTAAGTACTTCTCCCCAGAGCTCTCCCCTTCTTTTCCTTCTTTCTTTCAGTCCTTCAGAACATAAAATGAGGCAGAACCTAACCTCTCTTTTAAAAGCTCATTGAACTGGGTCAACCTGACTCATTTCCCTTTTCCTATTAAATCAAATAAATTAATATAATAAAATAATTCTCCATGTATAGAAATAAATAATAATTATGACCATAAGAATGAAGTATCAAATCATCTTAGATTAATATAAAATTTTATATATATGATCTAAGAGATATGAACTTTCAATCTAAGGTTGAATTTTCAAAATTGACATTTAATATAAAATTATTAAGCGGTGTAACACTTAATAAAAAGGTGTAACACTTAGTAAAAGTTACACCGGTATCATTTGAACCCTCCTCATATATATATATGAAATTATTTAATTAAAGAGAAATAAAAGGTAATAAATTAAATGATAAGTCCTACCTTCTTATTTATTTATACTTATTTATTTATCTCTCGTCTTTCTTACATATACTTATTTATTTATTAATCTCTCCTTTCTTTTACATATATTTTATTTCTTACATCTTTCTTTTCAACCAAACAATTAAATTTATATTCTATTTCTTATATATTTTTATTCATTTATTTATTTATTTTTATATTTCTGACTTATTTATTTCCTTTGATTTATGTCTTGTACACCAAAGAGAAGCAAAGTGTAGGCGAAAGTGTGTGATCACAGTCACATGCGATCATGTGCCGGCGCTTCCTCCCCAATCTTTTTTGTCTTGTATTCCTTATTCCGTCGGTTCTCTAAATCCGAAGCAACCAACTTTGCATAGTCTCAATATTCTGCACTCTCTGCCGTTTCACTGTCACTCCCTACAAAGCTAACAACAGATCACCAACTGCCTTCTCTCTCTCTTTTCTCCTCATTCTCGCTCCCAGGAGCCCCAGGCACGTGCATGTCACGTGCATGTCACGTGCGTGCGTCTCTCTCCTTCTCCCATTCGCCGGTCATAAATGCGGCGGCGCCCCGCCGAGTTTCGCCGCCCGGTGCGGCGCCGGTGGTTCTCTCATTGGATCTGCTTGCTTCTCGCCGCTTTCTCTCTCGCGGCTTTGGTTCTCTTCCTCGTGCAACACAATCACCGTGAAGATCGCCTCCAACACCCTCTTATGGTAAAACGACGTCGTATTTGGTGCACTCTCTGCTTTTAATTTTTTTTTCCCTTCCTTTTAATCAATCCGTTTCAGTGAATGAATGAACGCTTCTGTTGTTGTAGTTTTATTAGTTTCTTACAATTTGGTGTGCGAAGAGTGATTTTTGTTTCGTTTGCATTGGCAATTGGCAACCGTAGCAAGATCTTGAATGTTTCGTTAGCAATTGCGAATTTTTAAGCAATTGAATTGGCGACTGTCAATGTGCGTCGAGCGCGATCTCGAATCTCGCTGTTCGTGTTTCACTTTTTTGCGTGCACATGTTGAATATCCGTGGAACTGGAGATTCTTTCGCTAGGTTTGTTCAATTTGTGTTGTTGTGTTCCTTTTACTGTGATTACTTCCGGTTTTTGTTCTTTTGGGTGAAGGATTAAGTGCCACGGGGTTGCTGCTTGGAGAATTATTTCTTGTTTCTGATCGTCTATGTAGGATGTAGAGCAGAGTGAGTTGAATTTAGGTAGTTACTTGCATGATTGAAGTTTTGGGAGTCAATTGTGGTGGTTACTTTTGGATATGATTTAGTGGTGTATTTGTGAAAAATCACCTTTTTTTGCTATTTGTTGTTCTGAAGTCGAGCTTAACCTAGGTATAGATGGATCTTCCTGTGGTTCGTGAAGTTATGTATGCTATATTTGATTGATGCTAAGGCAATTGTCTAGTAGTTAGACTGCTATTTATGTTAACTCCGGCTATTAGATGTGCTATGTAAACGGAAAGAAAACTTGTTATTTCCTTTGTTCCAGAATGACTGCAGTGTAAGGTTTTTGCACACAGATTAAGAACAATTAATATATTAGTTTTTGATACAATTTTACTAAAATAACTGCACTTTCTCAATATATGCATTGTTTTTAATTGTGGTGGTTGAAGTATTTATGAGGGGGCAAATTGGCAAAAAAAAAAAAAAAAACATTGAAAAACTGAGAACATCAGTCATTTTGAAAGTTAATTCAAATGCTAAACTGCAGTCATTTTGAGATGGAGGGTAGATTAAACTATGATTTTCTAATTGTGCATTGTTTTGGGCATAGTACTATTGTCTATGGGTGGATGAACTATTTCCCTATTGTAAGAGGAAACTTTTCTTTCTAATATATTTTGTTGACCTTTAATGGAAAAATGACTGAAGAACAGATGTTGATATATGGTAATTAAACTCATTTACTGTTGGCTACTGTTCAGTGTGTGTTTGGACACACATCCAATAAGCATGTAAGATAACAAAATAATATCAAATGTATTCATTTATACAGAAGCTATAGTTTATAGCTTCTGATGGACATGTGTTAAGTGCGCGTCAACACCAAAACAAATATAGTTTTCACTCTCTTATTATTCCACTTGCAACCGTTCACTTAGGCATTGCCTCTTTTGCCAAAGTTGTTATTACATTGCCAATTCCTTGTAGAATCCAGTCATCATTTCTTATGTCACCAGTTCTTGTGGCTAATTCCTATAGTCATTCTGCTCTTCAGTATTAAACTAATAGATTTAGTCCATTTCACTAGTTTGTGGTTATATATCTATTTATGTTGCATAGAAAATTTGCCTTTCAACATTGTGTTGTTAACTATAATCTTTTAAATTTATGTTTATATTGCTGTCTTCATAATTTTGGTTGTTCATTAGTTATTCTTTTTCAGTCATCCAACATTGAGGAAAATATCTAAAACTTGTATTTTTTTTTTTTTTTTTTGTGAAAGCTTCTTCATGATTATGGTGTTAATTTTGTATCAACAAATGGTAACAAAAAAAGGTTAAAAAACAATTGCACACTCAAGTTTTTGGGTAAAATTATAAACAGTAATTGGTCATTTGAATAGTTAAACATGAAGTGTTAAACATGGCAAGTTTGCCTCGGTTGCAATGCTAGAACAATTTTACATTGTTGTGAAGTTATTTTTGTGCTCCATATGATTGAATGATTGTTGTGCTTTAAGTGACATTTCTATTTTTCTGTTAGTTATTTCCTTCCCCCACCCCTGGGTACTTACAGTGCAAGCTACTTACTTTGCAGGAGAGAAATGCTAAAGTTGAACATTTTCCTAAGAAATTGAATTTTACTGAAGAAGTTTTAAGTGCAACATCCTTTTCACGGCAATTATCAGAGCAAATGATTCTGGCCAAGGCTTATGTGATTATTGCCAAAGAGCACAATAATCTTCACCTAGCCTGGGAGCTTAGTTCAAAGATTAGAAGTTGCCAGCTTTTGCTTTCAAAAGCTGCCATGACTGGTGAGCCTGTGACCATGGAGGAGGCTGAGCCAATCATTAAAAGCATGTCTTCTCTAATTTTCAAGGCACAAGATGTCCATTATGACATTGCAACCACTATAGCAACAATGAAATCACATATTCAAGCACTTGAAGAGCGTGCGAATGCAGCAACAATTCAAAGCACTGTGTTTGCTCAAATATCAGCTGAAGCATTACCCAAAAGTCTTCATTGCTTAAATGTGAAACTTATGGCTGATTGGCTAAAGATGCCATCACTGCAAGAACTCTCACGTGTGAGGAGAAACTCCCCCCGGCTCACAGATAACAATCTATATCATTTCTGCATTTTTTCAGATAATGTCATGGCTACATCTGTAGTTGTTAACTCTACAGTCATCAATGCTGACCATCCAAAACAGTTAGTCTTTCACATTGTTACTAATGGTATCAATTATGGAGCAATGCAAGCATGGTTCCTCAGTAATGACTTTAAAGGGGTTACCATAGAGGTGCAGAGTATTGAGGATTTTCATTGGTTGAATGAATCTTATTCTCCAATTGTCAAACAGCTACACAGTCCAGAATCACGGCCCCTTTATTTTGGACCTTATCAAGGTGTAAATTTTGAGCCAAAGTTGCAGAACCCCAAGTCTTTGTCTTTACTAAATCATCTTCGGTTTTACATCCCTGAGATTTATCCACTGCTTGAGAAGGTTGTTTTCGTTGATGATGATGTTGTTGTCCAGAAGGACCTAACCCCACTTTTCTCACTGGATTTGCATGGAAATGTGAATGGTGCTGTTGAAACTTGTCTAGAAGCATTTCATAGGTACTACAAGTATCTCAACTTCTCAAATTCAATTATAAGCTCAAAGTTTGATCCACAGGCATGTGGATGGGCACTTGGTATGAATGTTTTTGACTTGGTTGCATGGAGGAAAGCAAATGTGACTGCAAGGTATCATTATTGGCAGGAGCAGAATGCTGATGGGACACTCTGGAAGCTTGGTACACTTCCCCCTGCCCTTCTAAGTTTTTATGGTTTGACAGAACCACTAGACAGAAGATGGCATGTTTTAGGATTGGGTTATGACCTAAATATTGACAACCGCCTGATTGAAAGTGCAGCAGTTATTCACTTTAATGGGAACATGAAACCGTGGCTCAAGTTAGCTATAGGCAGGTATAAGCCATTATGGAACAAGTTCATAAATCAAAGTCACCCTCATCTTCAAGATTGTGCCACAGGTTAAAATGCACTACTTCTCAATTGCTTATGGATTACGCAATTTCAGATTATTTTGATCCCTTGATCTGTGATTGCAGTAGCCATTATTGTAGAGTCAAAAGTAGAAAGTTTTGACTTTGCTAGGAACTTTCTTTTGTTTTTTTTTTGTTTTTTTTTTCCTTTTATTTTTCAGTGTCTTGAAATAGAAGAGAATGATTATTATACACTAAAAAAGTTTAAACGCGTTAGGTGAAGAGGTGGGAGAATTCATTCTTGGCTTTTTGGGCTATCTTTTCTTCTTCTCCAAGTTGTAGATTTATTTGTTATTTCAAATAGTGATGTAATTCAATGGAAACATTTTTTTCCCTTTCTCGTTGGTTATTTCTTAATATCAAATATATTAATCGATTGTTTATTTGCTAAGCGAGCCATATTTTGTTTCATGTGGTGGTCCTTTAGAAACTAAAACATGGATCTAATATATGCGTGTTGTCATGTTACTCTCTTTGACAACTAGAGAAGCAAGAAAAGGATTAAGGAACAACTAGTCAGGAAAACAAATTACCACTATACTATGAAAAATGAGAGCCCAGGTTTGCATGACTTTAATGTTATGATGTTTCCATTTTCTCAACCAGGTGATGCGTGTAAACTGCTGTGTTTTGCTTTCAATTTAAGTATGAGTTGTAAGAACTAAAGCGAAGCTTTTGCTTTGCTGCTGATGTTCCTAACCAGTTCCAATTAGACTGTTTTTGGTAATTTTATATTTAAAAAATTGAAGCTTTTGTCTTGAGAATTAACATGTCCGTTATCAAATTTTTCGATGATTTATATAGACCGTTACAAAATTAAGGATGCGAAACCAAGTTTTTGACTTTTTATTTTGAACCAAGTTAAACAGCAACTAGTTTTGTTTGATAAAAATATTTTGCCTCTAAAAATCAATTTTATTGAATCACAAAATGACAGAAAATCATGATAGCATTTGGACGGAGATGACCTTTGAAATAAACACACCATGATGTTGCTTGCAAAATCATGAATTATAAGGTGATTAAACAGGAAGATAATAATCTGGAACACATTAATCACAGAAAACAGATTAGTGCCTTGAAAAATCTGAGACAAAATCTAGGAAGCAGACCAAATTGCAACCTCTGAATATCCATCTTCAGTAGCACAAGCTCGGAACATGCCTGCTGTGTTATAAGGCATAGCAAGTTCTCCTGCAGCAGACACAGCAACCAAACCAACAGTGCCTTTCGGTGTGCGTTCATGCACAACACAATCAGCAGCTTCTTTTAGAGAAACACCTTTGAATTCCATCAATGCTGCAACGTCTCTTGCAACAGTGGCACGTAGTATTGCTTCACCTTTGCCTGTTGCAGAGACAGCACAAAGCTCGTTGGCATATGTGCCAGCACCTATGATGGGTGAGTCGCCAATTCGACCAACCATTTTGTTCACTAGTCCACCAGTGGATGTAGCAGAGGCTAGGTTCCCATTACTGTCAACAGCCACACACCCTACAGTTCCTAGTTGACTATCACCATTAGCAACAATTGGTGTTTCTCCCTTGGCACCATTTTGGAGGGGTCGAGTAATGTGATAAATCTACATATTTTGAAACCCAGATGATATCAATATGACAATATCTTAAGGTGGAAAATACAGTTCCTAGTTGACTATCACCATTAGCAACAATTGGTGTTTCTCCCTTGGTACCATTTTGGAGGGGTCGAGTACTGTGATCAATCTATATATTTTGAAACACAGATGATATCAATATGACAATATCTTAAGGTGGAAAATACAGTTCCTAGTTGACTATCCCCATTAGCAACAATTGGTGCTTCTAAATTGCTACCATTTTGGAGGGGTCGAGTAATGTGATAAATCTACATATTTTGAAACCCAGATGATATCAATATGACAATATCTTAAGGTGGAAAATAAAATAAATTGCTGGTGATTGATGTAACAAATAACCATAGGATAAAACTTAAAAAGAATTTGTTAGAGAATTTTATTATTGTTCTCTAATTAGAATTAGAACTTCATCTCGGTAATATACATAGTAAAGATTTGACCAATAAAGGTTGGTTTAGTTAGTAATAAGTGGACTCATCACATAAGGACATAAGTTCAATTGATGTAATAACTTTGTTGGTAGGTAATATGTAAATATTTGGCCAATGTAAAACTTTGTTTGTAAATTATATAAGCATTCCTGTAAATGTTCTTTGCACCTTGAGATTTATCCTAACTCTAATGAGAAACTCCATTCATCTAATTTTTTTTTATAAAAATAAAATAAAATAATAGAGATTTACATTGAATTTAAAGGTCAGTATAAATTATCGAAACAAAATTTCAATTCTAATGAAAAATAACATAAATAGTACCTCAGGAAATAGTGTGTATAAGCTTTGTCCATCAACTACTCTTTCTTAAGGTGAAAACTTACAAACTAAGCCTACTCCTCGGACATAGAAGTAGGCAAAATCAAATACCTGGACCGTGTTGGATTCTTTTGCTTGCTGTAGTCTCTCAATATTTTCAGCAGTAATGAAATGGGTTGAATCTAAAGTCTCAACACCCTGAAAATAAGAATGTTATGATCATCGATGAAGGATGAGCCACAAGCAACAAGTATTCAATGTAAAACCAGAAAGGCACCAGCAACAATTGATGGTTGGTTTGCTTGTTATTCAAGTCATAAAAGCAGCTTTGTGTATATATATCATCTTGTTTATGCTTCATAATGGTGAGAACCTTGGGTATCCAATTGTATCTTCTTTCTCCTTTTCTTAGCTTCTATTTTACTATTTTCTCCCTCAAATTTATGATTATTGAATGTGAGACAGCAGAAAAAACTATTCATTATAATATGCCAATGATGTTTCATAAGTACCTCAATGGAAGGAAAAGAGAATTTCCCACAGAAAAACCAGATTTTACCTTAAATTATGGATGGTTGAAACTGGTATCCAAAGCTAAATTAATTTAGCATCAATTCATTTGCCTAATGAAGCACAAATACAAGATCCAAAAACAAAAGCCATACTCTAATTCTAGAAGCTCTGAATGACTCTGATGAATCATCTATCATTGTTATTAATTAAAGGAATAACTTATTCAAACGTTTTCATCAGGAACATGTTAATTTTCTTCTTCTTCATAGAAACAATAACACTGCACACAATCACAAACTTTGGAGAAAGTTCAACACAAGGGATGAGTAAACAGGTTAAAATCATAAACGAAACTCACTTGTTGTTTTGCAAATTCCTCTGCTCCATCAAATGCCAGATATACATGAGGAGTCTTCTCCATAACCAATTTTGCTAAAGAAATGGCATTGACAACTGTTTTGAGACCAGAAACAGCTCCACATTTTTTTGTCCTGCCATCCATAATAGAAGCTTCCATTTCAACTGTGCCTTTGTTGGTCAGCACAGATCCCCTACCCGCGTTGAATTGAGGAATATTTTCTAATTCACGTACCTAAATAGAAGAAGAAAAGTACAACAAACATGCTAGAGAGTGAAAATCATTGGAGTTCAATTAGGATAGCAATAACTCTAAAATACTCTGAAACTCGATCCAATAATTAATTCGTTAACATCTTTCATAAATCAAAGTACTCAAATTCAAGTTAAAAATTGAGTTTCATGAATAAATGAATTAGATTTGAGCAATTCGATTCGTTTAATTCATAAATAGAGTCGATATATAAATATATAACATATAATTAACTTTCTATTCAATTTCGGCTAACTAAAATTTAAAAAAATCTTAAAAATTTTGTTATGAGTTAATAATAATAAAAGAAGTGAACAATTTAGAATTTTATAGTTATGGATTAAATTTTTATTATTTTATGTAAGGTGAAGTAGATTTTATTTATACACTCTTTAATTGTAATTATGTTTCTTTAAAATCATACCTTGTAACCTTGCAAAGTTAAAAGAATAAATTATGTTTTCTTTTAAGAAAAATTAAACCATCTTTTTTTTAATCTAAAATCTATTATTAAATTAAAATTTTAAAATGCAAAAGATTATAAAAAATGACTCTTGATTCATGTGATTTGAATTAACAAATTAAACTGAACTATTAGTAGGCAAACTAAGTTGTATTTAAGTAAAAAAAAAATATCAATATTAAACAACCAAATATTATCAAGACAATTTAAGTTAAATCGAACATAGCTCAATTTGACTCATTTCAAATCCTAAGTGCAATGTTGAGAATTATTAAAGAATTAAGTACGAATATTTTAAGAGTCCAAAAACAAAGAAGGCCTTTTTTATTTCTCTCCATGAAATGTATTAAAATCTATGGAAATATGTGTTTGGATGGGAAGATATATTAAAGATGGTTATTCAAGTTTTCTAATAGAAATTAATTATCAATAAAATTAATAGATATTTTATACTAATAACATGATTAAAAAAATCTATGAAAATATGACTATAAATATTGTTTTGCATTCCCTTCTTATACCGTGCAGAGAAAAGAAAAAAAAAAAAATTGGTCTACCAGAAAACCAACTTAACACCACATTTGATCCAAAATCCTAACATATTAAGCTTATACATCTTTCACACTATATGCTGTTCTAACTTGCTCACTCCTACCGAACATGAGACTTTATATTTATACTTGTACTCCAACACAAACTCTGCTGCATTGTTGTGACATTCTAATTCTTATATCCATTTTTCTATTTTTTTTTCTTTAGAATCACTAGTATTTCCATATATTCAGTTCATATTAAACAGCCCATAAAAAAACCTTTCAGATGCGAAAATGAGAGTGTTGTACATGTATGGCTCACAGTAATAACTTCTGCCTCAATACCAAAAACATAATAATAATAATAAATAACTTATGCTCAAGATTCGAACTCATTCCAACTTTAATAATAATAATTAATAAGTGTCTCAAAAGTGATTGTTGCGTTATATTGTTTCTAAAAAAAATAATTATAAAGAATTTTATAAAATTATTAATTTCTTTCATTTATTTGTTGGTTTCTCTCCATCTATGTAAAAAAATAAAAAAAAAATGAGACTATTATTATGAAACAGAAAAAGATATATATCTATATATATTAACTACTAAAAGGAAACCTGATATAATAAAGTTTAGATCACATCTTAATCATTGACTATTTTTGTTCATAAAAGGGACTTGAAATTGACCACTTACCACAAGCTCTACTACATCCAATGGAGGCATGTTGGCTTGAAGAGCCTCAACCCCGATTTGCAGGCAGTGGCGGAGGGCTTGCTCTCGGGGTTGGCGGTGCTCCGGCGGCAGTGAAAGTGGGATGTCTCCGGCACCGCCGTGTAGAGCTA